TCCGTCGCGCGTATTTATTAATTATGTCAAAATTAAGAAACACTCAATGATTTGTTTTCACAATTACTAAAAAGGTTGGAGTCAAAATATTTTTTAAACTTAAAAGGAAAGGAAACAAATAGAATTAAAATATACCTCGAAATACATAGGTTGGCATAAAAATAAAGTAAGTGCTGAAGAGTGCGACCTTTTTATCATATTCATTCAAAAACATTGATTGATATATGACATATAGTGAAGAGTAAAAAATAAAAATATGTAGAGCTTTCTTGCAGCATATTGAGTTTCCAATCACCAAAGCACGCCATATAAACGCATCAGCTATTAATCAGTCACGCCCACTTATTATGTGCATGTTCTTGAATGAAATCCTTTTCTGCTGACATAGCATCATGAAAATGCGCTGTGATGATTGCTATATGAACCCTATACCTGGAAATCCACCTTTTTCCATAAAAGCTCTTTTAATTTGAGCATTTCCTTGTTCAGTTTGCAGAGAACAGATCCAATGATTAGAGATTGGTTGCGCAATCAGTTCTTGTTTGCTTTGATATTTCTTGAATTCCTAATACTATTTTCCATGTGTGGGAGCAATTCGTTAAATAAACTGAAAACTAGCCCCTTATTTAGCCGAGACAATTCAATGAATCTATCCTCTCTTGAAGATTAAATGGATCACTTGTACCTCTCATTACATAATATACCAGTATCACTATCGCTATCATCGCCTGTTCTAATTATTATTTGTTCTATATTATTGGCAATATGGATATACGATTGTTCTGCTTTTTCTATATGTTTAACGGAATTTGCCCAACCTTGTGGAGGGATGTTAAATACTTCGGTTTCTATAGGTTTGAGGACATTGGAGTTAACACGGGGAAAAACATTGTTACGACTAATGGCATATTTCAGTTGGTGCCAAACATGTTAAATTCTTTAAATATACAGTGGTAACGTGGAAGCCTTAAAACTGTATGTCCCAGACTTTTTGCATGATTATCACAGACTCATTCCTTTTGTAGGTTCAAGCTTTGTAGAACCTCAATTAATTGCTTCTTGGTATAATTTTCGTGAAAATAAATGTAAATGTAAATTGTTGCTTTTGTGTCACATGAGGAAGGGGTTTTAGTCAACTGTGTACTGCGATAACTTGCATTGTCCATTACAATTAGGAGGAATGTTTGGAACTAGCTTGTTTTTAAACCAAGTTTCAAATAAATCAGCGGTAGTGTCTTCATGGTAATCCAGAGAAGAATCTTTAATATTTTTCGCAGAGAGAGAAAGTTCATTTGGAATCCAACCATCTTTAGTGCCAGCATGCAAAATTCTTTTACCTCTTTTTGATGGCGCGTTTGTTTTACACTTATCAGTTGAATCAACCCAACCCTTTTCCGGGGTATCATAGGTGTCGAACCAGGTTTCATTCAAGTAAATAATTGGCCTTTGTTGTTCTCTGTAAATCCTATTTTTTTTGGATAATCCAGTCGCCAATCCCCGAAATCTAAAAGATTCCATTGTGTCATGTGTTGAATACACTTCCATAAGGTAGTTCTGCCACATTTAACATCGGCTTCATCTTTTTCAAACCTCCTAATTAAGATATCTAATGTAGGCACGCTTTGATCCTCGTATAACTGGTAAATTTTACGCCATATTATATCTTGATCACTTTCATCTACAGCATTGCTTCTTTTTTTCCTCGCTGAAATGGGATTATTTTTCATACAGCTGATGTTGGAATTTTCGTCAATGTGGCCGTCTCTTCTAAAGATGCTTGCTTGCTGCCACGACGTTCAATTAGAGTCACATAAACATTGTTTACAACTTCCTTAGTGTCAATAAAATAGTGTTTTCTACATTTGGGCGGGAGCATCTCCTGAGATACACTAGACTCGCACATATTTTGCATAATTCGCACACGATTCAACACACGAAATAAGAATGGTTACTAATAAACTTAAACTAAGTAGTATACCAAACCAAAGAATATTAAACACAGGTAGGTATAAAATTATTTTCTATTACGGACCACAATTTTACCCGAATTTAAATTCCGAAACTTTAGGTAATAATCTTGTTGCATTGTATGTTAATGACCACCCTTGGATAATCCCATTCAAAAGCAATTGGTCACTTTCTTATATCCGTGAACAGACTTTAACTGAACCTCGTAACGTAACCTGCTCGCGTAAAATTTTATGTTCAGTTTGGACGGTATTCCGAACCGCATCTTGTATCAAAATGCTGTGTCAAAATTTTACAGCGAGCCGTCGGTTGTCGCTAAAGTGGCGAACCATCAAGGGAACCTTCGAAGTAATGACACGCGTTGATGTTTGTCTGAAGAAAAACTCGAGCAATTCGTCGACCGCACCGGTCAAACTTTGTCATTGTTTAGTCTTGTGAAAACCACCTATGGACGAGAGTATGGCTCTGGTCAAAATGCAGTGGTCGAAGGAAAAAACCTTCGAATTTATAGAAAAGTATCGGAAAAAAGAGGTGTTGTGGATCTGGAAACATCCACAATATTTCACTAAAACTACTCGATGAAGCGATAAATATGTCTTCTGAACTAGACTATTGTTCTTCTCAGATAGCACAATATGTAAAGATTGCCATTAAATTCTCATAGCCAACAACAGCAACATCAGAACCTTTCCGCACGTCACCAGTCTAAACATGAATCCTGTTTTCAACATTCCTATCAGTCACCTCGGCCACCAAATTACTTCTATAAGTCATCTTGCCAGAAATCTGGAATTATAACACTTATGGATTGTTTGGAAATTTTAAAAAGATACTGCAAACTGTTATACGAAAACCGTAATCTCACTGCCAATCTACCTTGTACTGAAATAGTCTTTCTTATATTGGTACTTTGATTCATTATCTTCGAAAATTGTTCCAGTAAGTGACCGAAATTTTAAATCAGGCAGTAAACTTTGTTGATCCCTTTTGCATCTGCCACCAGCGCCTTTGTCTTTTCTTCGTATTTTTTAAAGCAAAATGCATATAAATATATGGGGTAGCAGCTACTATTGTAGTGTTTATTTCCCGACGTTAAAAACAAACTAAAATTATAAACGGCTAACCAGAATGTACTCTAAATATTGTATGAGGTTCGGTTCGGTGGTGCGTACGCTTCCAGTGTATAGAAACTCGAATACCAGCGAGCATTTACTTCATTTGCAACGATGTTCCGAGGTGTGGTTACCCGTCTGGATTCGGCTTAATATAGCGTTACTTCTAGATAAAGGAAGCGGTTCATTTTATGTAAATTTTAAATACATAAGAACGATAAATTAAAGCAACCCAAGCTTGCCATCTAGAAGTATTAATTCTGTGCCTCTGATGGTAAACGTTTATTATTGTTAAGAGAGAACCGAATCAGTGTCAAAAGCTAAATTGCTAATTATCTATCATTTGTTCAGAGAGATAAAAAAATCAGTGGGTTATTTACAGCTGAAACCAAAATGGCGTCGTATATTTGACATTTGACTTCCTACTTTCTAGTACAAAGTTCACAGAAAACATTTTTTAAAGTTGAGAGACACTGAAAATGAGGGGAGTTATTCCTTTATGACTTCTATTTGCTTAGTTTAATGCGGTTGCGGTTTGCAGCAGTTTGATAAGATTGATAGTAATGTGACCACCGTCATACCAATGAAAAGTTGTTCCGAATGACTGGAGTTAATAACTAGAAAACTTGCATGGACCTCTTTAAAAAATACGTATTTTGCATAACCGTAAAGCAGTTTCACGGAAAAGGGATTGTTTGCTGCTGATGAAAATTCTTCAGAAGCACAAAGCAGTACCAAAGAGAGCAAGAGAAAATCTTTGATTGATGAGACCATTGCTCGATAAGCTTTCATGATTGTCTGTCAACGGGTATTCAAGTGTGCGTTCACGAATAATGAAGTGTAAAAGGTTTTGAAAATTAAGCTAATCATGTAAACCGCTTGGCTCATATATTGCCCATATTGAAAAATAAGAACAACGAATAACACAAATTTACACAATCTGATTACTCTCAACAAAGACGATTTTAACTGTAGTAAATAGTTTCGAGTTTTAACAAAGACAGTTAGAACAGGCAAAGTTTACTGTTTCAAATCAATTTGCCCCTTGTTCGGAATTTTTTGATAAAGATATTGAGAACAGATGATTTTAACTTCTAATTATTTTTACGTGCGGTTTGGAATTGAAAACAAACTGTGAAAGTGGTCTTTAGTATTAGTGGTATTAGGTATTCCGATCTGCACCACCATTCCTAAACACTTTGCGCGCAAATTATTTTAAAATTTCTAAGGCATCAGCACTACTAAAATAAAAATACCTAATAAACTTAGTGAGTTTCCTGTTCTATGACTAGTGTCATAGAACAGGAGAAGAGTGGACCTTGACAGTTCCTCAGACCATGAAGAATGTTTGTACAATAAAGTAAGGATATACGTGGTGTGTTCAAAAAGTCAGTTTTATCAAAAAGTATTTATTTATCAAAATTAATGTTGTCCCTTTCAAAGTAATCCCCCCAGATAAAATACGCTTTTGCCAACGTTTTTTCGTCGAAGCACTTTTGGTAAGCACTTTCTGTCTTAAGGATGTCCCTTAGCTGAAACAGGATATACGCTATATCCCGTCAGATATTCCGTGGACGTTTTGCTATTTGGGTCTATAGTCCCTTCGCATATCTAATGCGGTTTTATTACTATTCACCTCTTCTTGGCCACCCTCGTCCTTCGTGACATGGCAGAGACCCCGTAGAACGTAGAAACGCGATGGCAACGTAGCCGCGTCGCATTTTTGCTCTACGGCGGACGCAAAATGGTCTCGAAAAAGGTCAAAACGACCGAGGGAACGCAAGGCGATCTGGTTTGTGACGCGGATAACTGTATCGAACGGTCGTTTTGCATTTCGATAGGAAAAACAATCGCCAAGTAACCGTACACGAAATTCCAGCTGCGTAGCGCGCGGTCAGAACCGTAACTACCCTCTCTCACCTTGTATATCCCGTCGACTAGTTTGATGAGCTCCTCGGTCTCCATTTTCCGTGAGTTCTGCGCGTGGTCCGCTCAAATGATTGTGTTCATATCAGGGCGAGGGATGACGGACGAGACGCTGAAACAAGAATGAAAAAAAAGTTGACAAAACACTTTCGATGTGCGGGGTTGATCGGCTGGATTCGAATCCGTTCGGAATGCGATCTACGAACGGCCCGCGGCTGTGGGTCGCCGGGGCAACATTCTCTCGCAGCCCGATGACTTTTACTTACGAAAAAGTGCAAAGCGCAATGAACGATACACCGGCTACTATCGAAATGTCGGCTCGTAAATGTCGATACGATTAAAAAAAAAAAAGATTCTTTTCAAATACTCGCTATCGTTTACTACGCCCTCTGCTTGAGAAGGTTGGCGATCCAAAACTGAGGAAACTGGACTGAGACTCTGTAACTTGTATCATAATCCTAAGCGAAAGAGATGCGGATGCGAAGGGAAACCGTCGTTACATACCGAGGTTACTCCCTTTGGTTGACTGATGTTTGTTACTTCGTTTTCGCACATTTAATTTAATTTAATTAAAATTAGCATAAAATATAGAACAGAATAACTGCATTACAGGTAGGTATTTCTTATGTTCATATTCTATCCTGAAGCTCTTAAAACATAATTTTTTTTAAAAAAATTGTGTTCATAATCCCCAACTTAAATTACAGATGTATCCTGTTTTGAGGCATTTACTTCATAAGGAGGAGAACCGACGACGGATCTCAAATTTAAAAATTGCAAAAGAGTAATGAGAGATACAAGTGAGTGAGTGAATTGTTTCGGCTAAATAAGGAGGTAGTTTTCAATTTATTTAACGATAACACTTTGGGCTCTGTGAAATCTGAGTCATCTGGTCGGAATTGGATTCCTCTGATTCTGACGATATAACGTTTTCTAGTTCTTTTGGGGCGGTAGATCCATGAGGAACTGGTCGAATAACAAAGCAAAAATTGGGATACATAATTTGTTTCTTATTTTTTCTGTTGAATCCTTGAACATTAGACGAACAAAAATAACAATCATCACTGTGATTCCTAGACTCTCGTCATACCATAGAAACACCAAACCTTAAAGCTTAAACAGTATGGGGAGCCCAGGACTTGTCTGTTTTGGCCAATTTTAGTTAGTTACTCAAGTTATAGTCTGCCTTTGCTTCACTACGACATAACTACCACATATATAACAAAAGTTATTGGGATTGTTTTCACAACGTCTTCATTCCATATTTATACGTTGTAGAACACTAGAAATACGCAACAACGAAGACAACAGCGACGAACACAGTAGCACGACGACCAATACAACCAAACTGCGCATAAGCACGTTACAACGCTGTATTGACGCTTCTGCGCCAACTCTGATGCATTGCAGAGAAATCTAAGATTATCCAGTGTTGCCAAATCACATTTAATTTCATAAAAATCATACCTAAAATGGAACCAACATATTCATGTCGTAGGTATGTATCTTAATAAAGTAATATTTTTAACATAGAGAGCTCTACAAAAAAAAAACACGTGATAGAGCAAAAATATGGCGTTTTTTTGGAAAAACGTACCCCAAAAATAAGCAAACAGCAGTTAAACATCAAAATCAGTGTGTAATTAAAGACAGAGACAATTCTCATAAGACTTCTAAGAAGTACCCTCATGCTCATGAATGTCTTTTTCGCCTGCTCAATTATCGACAAGTCTTTCTTCGGGTTACACTGGCTATCGAGATTGGCTCCGAGTTATTTTATTAAGTCTACTTGTTCAGCTAGTTTCCCATTTAACATTTAGATATTTTTAGTTTTGACGATATTTTTTTGAAATTTTGAGGTTCAGTTGAACTACTTGCTATGACGACAAAGTCATCTGCGTATCTTATATCGGTACTGGTGGTGCATTGATCTTTATTCCGCTGTTAATTTCATCCAGCGCCTCGCTAAATATGGCTAAATATGGTTTCCTGCCAAACCTCCAGATTGGTATCTCATCCTACGTATTTTGTTCAATATTAACTGTTGCCGTTTGTCGCCAGTAAAGTATTGAAATTATACGTAAATTTGGTTCATCGATCATCTTTCGAAAGCAGTCGAACGCTTTGCGAAAATCAATAAAACATACGTACACATTTACGTTCACGTCCCTACATCTTTGTGTTAATACCTTCAGATAGAAGAGTGCTTCACGTGTAGCTAGTCCGTTTCGGAATCCAAATTGATTTTCGTCTATTTGAAGTTCGCATTTCCTATATATTCTTGTGTGGATAGTTCTCAGAAATATCTTGAGCACGTGTGACATGAGGCTAATCATTCGATAGTCGCCATATTGAGAGGTCTTGGTTTTTTAGGCAGCGGTATAAATGTTGACTTTAGCCAGTAGGCTGATATCTTTCCCGAATTATAAATGTTGTTTATTAACCGGTTTCAGATTTAAGATGAATTTGGGAAATATCGGCTCAAAACCGGTTAAATTGACAGCTGCCAAAATGTGACATTAACTTAAGACGAATAAGATAGCGTATATAACATGTCTCAATCGTATTTTGTCATTTCGCAACCCGCCTTTACTTTCATTTTACTTATAGTCGCCATATTGGGTTTTTCGAATTTTGAAAAGATCATAAAATTTTCGGTTCTCTGATGTCCCAAGTCGAAGGCCATAAAGGATTTTATCACAATTCGCACAGTTTGGTCTTAATTATTTTATTAGTGGGCCATGATTTATTCGTTACATTTTTTTCACCCCTGACCCTGACGTTAAATAATTCGAAAGTATCTAAGTTGTACTTTAATAAGTAGTACGTTTTCTCTTATTAAAATTATAAATTCACTATTCACGTCAGGAACTTCTTAAGCGAGCAGTTTGACAAAAGAATTATTTCATTAAATTCTAAAAAATATCTTGGCCTCCTAGACCGCCTGACCTTTCACCCTTTGATTTCTTTCTCGGGGTTCACGCAAACAACGAAGTCTACGATTTTTTTTAACCTCCCGAGATTATAAAAACTCCTGAGAAAAAGAGTTTTGGACACATTTGGAAACATCAATGGAAATACACTTGCAAGGGTTGTAAGAAAAACAAATTTCAAAAAATTTCTCGATGCAAATTTTGTTGAAGTGTTAATTAACTTAACGAAGACTTTTCTAATTTTTCTTTTTAAAAAACACATCTGACTTGTTGAGAAGTCGCCTTTTATCTTCATATTCTGTTGACAATTCAATGACTTTATGCGTTTTTTTATGTGTTAATTAATGTAAATGTTAAATAAATCGCGGTCTACTTAAAAAACCATAAAGACCTGACTTTACGAAGTGTGACAAAATCTTTTGTGCACTTGCGAGACATCGCTGAGCTGCAGATTTTACAAAAATCGAAAAATCCCATATGACGACCATAAGAAAAACGAAAGTTAGACAAAAGACGATTGAAGTATGTCATACACGCTACCTTACTTGTCTTAAAAAAGTGTCTGAACAATGTCACATTTCGACAGCTGATAACTTAACCGCCCTGGCTAGGAAAAAACTTCCCCATTTAACCTGTGTATAGGAGCGAATCTGGGACACATTATATCATAGAATTAATATTCCTATAAGGCTAAAGAAAGAAAAGAATGGGAATCGGAATGATATGCGACTGTGCGAACTGTATAAAATAAATAAGATAGTTGTCAAATAAATGACAAGTCCCATTTGATGTAAATTTTAAATACATAAAGATACTAAAGCAACATCGGAGACAATATTTTCATGTATTTTCTGTTTATAATGCTTGACGATTTTCAATTGATTTTTTTTGTTGACAGTTCTGAGGTAGAACTTTTAATATTTTTACCTTCGCAGCTATTGACAACGCCGCTGTCATCGGGCAATTTTTGATTTTTCTACAAGCTTACATCCGTTGCTTTCTTCGCAAGAATTGGCTTATGTCGCCAGTCTTCTAAGAGTATTATTTGTATGTCTTCATGTATTCATAAGGCTATTTTAGTTATGATTTTTTTTGACACTATTATCAAGTGTCAAAGATGTAAGAACAAAATTTTTGGGGTATATACTGAGCGAAACTGAAAACGAAATAGTTTTAGACGTCCTCGTAGCTTAGTTATCTTTCCACCAATAGAAAATGAGAAAACTATTCCTTATATAACTTTCCGCGTAAATTTCATTGCCATTTTCGAACTAAGTGTACATGTCACCAAGTTAGGGGACCCTACTTTATTTTTGTTACGGGAACACTTTTTTAGTTTTCGCAGTATAGAAAGATTTACTTTTTTTGAACAGTAAGCCTTGATGTTCAGTTATCTTACCAAATTACCTGCCTAATTTTTAGTCTCATTATGGATGCATTTATTTGAAAACTACAAACAATTTATGAGGCTATGTTTGTTAAAGTCAGCTTTGCGCAAAATTTACGTTACGGAGCTGCCCAAAGACGTATCCGTTATTGTAAATGGTTTTTACATAACATTAATAATAACCCGTTTTGGAAGTTCATTTATATGGTTCGATGAACTATACCTATACACGAAAGTTGTTCTGGAAAATCAACATATCAGCTACAAGCTAGATTCGAGTTTAATGTCGTTAATTGCTTACTAGCTGCATCAATAAAATTTTATGCTTTTGGAATATGTTCCTATGGCACATTTAAACAAAAGCTGAGCTCCGCGCCGTAATTCGTGTGTTGTGAGGTGTTATTTAGAAAAGAACTTTCCTCAGCGCTGCATTAAAAGACACGGACCTGTTCAATGGCCTCCTAGATCCCATGATTTAACCATATTCGCGACTGGAATACAAGCAAGGAATATATCAATTTCAAATTCAATAGAATTACAAACGTGTGCAAAAAATGTATAGTCGAAAACGTATAGTTCAAGGAATCGATGTTTTTCTTTGACGAATCGTGACTTGCTGCTCAAAAATATACAGTGTTCTTCTGAGTGTGATGTTTGTTTAATTTATGTCCCTCCAACTCCATCGCTATTCTGTTTAGCGCCCTACGTGCGCCTCATTGTATAGTAAATACGCGTTTTCTTCGATTCTCGGCGAACTACGTGCTTTTATGTAGGCGCCTTACGTGCTAATCG